TACTATTGTACTATTGTACGGCGACACGCAGTCGTAAACATAATATTTTAGTTCTCAAAATTCATAATCACTTCATTTAAACTTTTATCTATGAAATAAATCATTTAATTTATCTAGTTTTATAATATATAGGTATATTTTTTTCGTTGACAATTTGCGAGATGTGACATTTTGATTTTTAATAAAATAATATATTCATAAGTATAAAAGTATTTCAAATACGTTAGTATTCAATACCATAAAAAGGTATTTAAATACTATTTAAATACTATTTAAATACAAGAAATAAAAAAAGTATTTAAATAAAGTATTCAATACTTAAAAAAGTATTTGAATACCAATATTCAAATACTTTACAGCTCTGCATATAATATGTTTAAAGTTACTAATCATTATATTATTAGGTAGCTATTATTTTTTTTCAAAAATGTATATTTTATTTTGTATATACGATATTATAAACACCACGAAATTGTGCAGGAATATAATATCTGCTTTACTACATTTTTTTATTAATTGTATTCACAAATTTTTTTATTAATAAGTACACATAGGTATTGTTGACATTTTTATTATTATAAACACGAAAATAAATAAATTACTCGATGCTGTTCGCTTATCGTTATATTTATTTACAATTTATTATCTATTATCATTAAAAAAACAAGCCAAGTAGGTAGCATATATGCCTAACCTACCTATACTATTTTTTTATGCGATTTTAAAGTATACAATACATTGATTTAAGCGCCATTTGTCGTCAGATGTTTATTATTTACTCAAAGAGAAGTATAAAATAAATACAAGTTTTTTCTTCTTCGATTGCTATTTTATATTTAAATATAGTTTCGTTTCGTGAAATCGATATAGCCGATATAGGCGTGACAAAAACAGTACAAATGTTTGTTTTTGACAGAAAAGTATTCGGAGAAATTGCTTGTTGCGATTCTATATACCCAATACCCATTGCGTTTTGTTGWAWAACATCGAATGGAAATAAATAATGAAGAATCGAAAACTGGAAAACTGTTTTCTATAAAACAGTGYAGCATTTTATTATTTTCGTCGTAGGTATACGTTGTTTCTTGATTTATAAAATATAAAAACAAACGATCATAATAATTTCATTCGGCTGATGGTATATAATAATAATAATGGCACCGTGCAGTAATTCGTTTTTCCGATAGTAAAGGAGGAATACGCCAATTTTACACAATTCAAACGGACGTCCAATCCAGACCATTAGTGGAATTTTTTATGAACGAACTGTGTTTGGATTTTTTTTTATAATTATTGAACAAACGATATTTACTAAATTCATGCGGGAGGTAGTTTAGGACAACAATACCTACGACCTACCTATGTCAAGGCGGGTTCAGGGATTTTCAACGTGAGGGTGGGGCCACTTTTATCTATCAGCTTTGAGTGGGACGTAATGATAATGGTGATGTTAAATCAAAGATGGTAGATTATAAAAATAAACTTTTATGTAATATTCATAAACATATTTTCAATATATAATAATATGTATAATATTATATACAATAATTGTTTACTCTACGATTTATAATTAAATAAGGTAATAGGACTAATTCTTGTTTCCGAAATTTTTCGGACTGCTAAACATTTCTTTAGGGATAGTTACGGAAATTCTTGTAAAGTAGTCGATAATTCGTATTAGCCCCCCCCAAACTATTCAATAAGTCCTTAATGGCATCTCTCCTACAAGCAACGGTATTGGTGTGTTCATAATATAATAGCATGTTGCAGCGTATTATATTTGATGCAATTATCTTCGTATATATATAATAACTGCAATTTCGGCGACCGGCTTTTGCAGATGTCGCATCAGCTCATCGTATGTTCGTCGAAAGAAGTATATTATAATATAACATGTTGTTGGATAATAACATCTTCTGTTTGGCGTGTACGTGATWGTTTGGAAATTTGGAGAAAAAAAAATGTTGACCTTCGGGGGTGGTGTTAACATAATGCATGCATAATACATATATTATACTGAGAGGTGTCGGTTTATAATATACATAATATATGACATAGATGTTTACTCGGATTTGAATAATGCAATACGGTGTTTTTAGTGCATTTCGCGTGCTTGTGTATTACTTACTCGCTACCTATTTTAATACCCTCGTCCGTTCCATATTATGTTATATTTGCCTCTTATATACTGTATACCTCTCCAATTGTAATAATATGTGCATAATGCATGTACATACATTATTTTATATTGTATAGCTGCACTCGATATCGAACAATATGTGTCACGTTTGGCACGGTTCAAATAAGGGACGAAATATGATCGTATTATCTAAATCATAATAATATATACTTAATATAATAATATTTTTTATCGTCTGCACGTAATTAATTTATTAGGTATACGCTGGGGAACCATGGCAAAACAAAACTGCAGTGTGCAGGTACCGTCGAATGTCATTGAACAGAGTTGGAGCTAAAAGGTTCATAATATCATAACCATTTTAGGGTTATTTTTGATTGCGTGAAATGCATTTTAATATTTATTTAAAATATTATATACCTATTTTATGAATTACATATTACGCATATCAACTATCCAATTATAAAAAAATACAAATAATAATATTCTCAAATCAAATTCAATGTTATAATAAATACATTATTACTCGTTGCAATGCATTTATTTTAATGTATTATGAGTATTTATGACATATAAATGATATATATATATATATATATATATATGTAAAAATGTTAAAATATAATATCCTGTCGTGTTAACTCGACATAAATTAAAGCTTACACATTATTATAATCATTATTATTGTTACTAATAAATAATAATAGTATGGGGTTTTGGCTTATTTTTACAAACTTATCAACGATGATGTGACGTGTGAAAAGTAAAAACTGTAAGATCACTAAGATCCTAGTGTCTAATAACGTACTGCTTTTGATGAAAGTGATGTAAAAATCCTAATTTTCATTTACGTTTCGGGATGCGTCCCCCCAACCCCAACCAAACGGTACCACCTATACGATGATGGCTTATATTATGGTAAAAAAAAAACTATTTTTTTTTTTTTATTAACTAACGGTTTTTCGTGTTGTCAACAGGTGAAGATTTGGTTCCAAAACAGACGGACAAAGTGGAAAAAACACGACACCGTGACGACGACGGAATCGGCGGACCCGACGACAGCAGCTGCCGCGGCGGTGTCGGCGGCACTCGGTGGCGGGCTGGCCAAGTGTTCGCCGAAGGCCGCGGCCGGCGCCAAGTTTCTCAGCGAGGGCGATGACCACTCGTCGCTGGAAGACTCGGAAAGCTGCTACAGCAGCGTGGACGCGGCCGAGTCCAAGGTGGTCACGGCCCGGACGCCGGAGTCGCTGCCGCCCACGTCGCCGACGACGGACAACGAGACGGCGGCCACGGCCACTACGACCACCGCCATGGCCAGGGCGCCCAGTTAGAGCGAAAACCTCAGTAGTTTTTATTAAAATATTATTAAAAAATAATAATCATTAACGATCAAATGCATAAACGAACGGATGATCGCCGCTGTTGTATGTTTTAATATTATTGTGTTTGTTTGTTTGTTTGTTTTTTTTTTTTAGCCTCGGTGTGTGTAATAATGATAATGATAATCGTAATTGTTATTATTGAAATAATTGTCCGTGTGTAGTGAAAAAGTAATCATTTAAAAATAATTTTTAAAAAAGCGACTCGGGGAAAAAAAAACAAAAAAATGATTTAACATTATTATTATTATTATATAGACTATACTAATGGTATACTATTATACATATTATTATTATTATTATGTATTTTTTTTTCATTAGATACCTAACATTTAGTATTATAAAACGTGCATAAATGTGTACTGCGTGATCAGAAACGATATATATCGGGTCTTTTGCCCGATTTTTACCCATACTTGATCGACATTTTAACGGAAAAAACGTCTCGCGGACCCACACTGTCCCTATATAATATATTACGACATCGTGACAACCGTTTTCGCTAATACTTTCGCACTATTCATTGTTATAATATTGTGTATTTCGATTGTAGTACCTATAATATTATTGTTAACTAAAAACGATCTAGAAGGAAAGACGTGTGCATCATATTCATTATTTTCTATATTATACGCGATTGTATCTTTTATTRTAATAAAATATTTATAATATTAAAAACGTTGACGCAAGGCCGTTATGTTYTTACCTCAAACTCTTGAAAAATCGCAAATGACTTACGCGCCCCCTCCCCCAATTTTCCAAAAAAAAAAAAAAATCTGACGCACTCTGAAATATGAAAATATTATATGTTTAAAGAGTTAAACATTTCACGATCACTGTGGTTGTTATCGAAAATAAAAAATGAATACCTACGCCTATATTATTTTGTCACGATTTAGTTACAGTATACCTATACCTAAAATATATATAGGTATGAAAATGATAACAATAAACGATAAGGCGAAATTTAGTTTTCACGGGTTAAACGTCTCTCAAATACGGTCCTTGCTGGTTTGTTGTATTGAAATATTCTTTCCTTCCTCGTTTTGTATATAATAAAATAATTATTATAATATCATTCTATTGACGTAGTAGATGACGCGCGCACGTTAATAGAGTGGTCCAAGTTTTTGATTGGCTATCCCCGACAAAACGTCGACATTTCCCGTCTGTTCGCGGGATTTTCGTTTTTCGACTTGTAATGTACAAAATATAGAATTATTACAGTAAACATCGTGATTTTTTCTYTAACGTTCGAATATTACCTATACCTACCTCTACCTCTACCTCTCTCACTCTCTCTCTTTCTCTATCTTAACGTCGTCTATATATTCATAATATGCTCTCTAAAATAATAACTTATCGCTGTACGTTATTCCTAATATGATCTACCGTTATAATTTTAAATRTTTTTTATTGTTTAGACTGTATCTATCGTTTATACGGATATCTTGTATGTTTTTATGTAGGTGTAATAATGTGTAAAAAAAAGGTAGGTATTTTTTTTTTTGTAACAAAAAAAAATAATGTGTGGTCTACAACAGGACCTAAACGACGATCGATTCTACTGTATAATAGGTATATCTTCAAATATTAATTAGGTAAACAGAATGATTTTCGCGATACTTTTCCAGATTATTACCACGATAATTACGTGCCCATGATTATTAATATTGTACATCTATTTATTATGTACGCTGCACGCACATGATTGTGTTTATTATTATATTGTGTATAGAATGTGTATTGTGTACAGTACCTTTATGATAATATTATTATGTACCACCTTCAATGAATATTATTTGTGTATAAAAATCGAACGTGTATAATATTTACAAAGATTTATTTTCAGTGTGTTATATGTTATTTTTTTTTTTTTAAACCGTCATAATAAAAATGTGAAAGGTKAATTTTATGATATTATTTGCGTTTTTGGTGTTTTCGATGTATTTACAAATTATAGGTACCTATTGATATCATCGTCAAATATAATTATTTTTTATGTACGGACGTCGTAAGAACGAGAAAAGACTGTTCATGCGTATTTCGGTCACTTCAGCGACACCTGTTGTTCTAATGTATGCTACACAATGTGCGAGACACCGAGACGCCATCTAGTTTACGTTTAGTATTGCGACGGTCTTAAAAATACCTACACCAGATCGCCAAAAATAATAATAAATAATATTGTTTGATCCTTATGTTTAACAGCAGTGGACTAAAGTAAATCGGGAACAAAAATAAAATGAACACCACATCTGATCACTCGGTCACACAATGATGTACATTTAAAMAGTGTAATATAAAATTATTTTATGCATTACCTATTATACCTTACGTATAATCATTGATTATACACCTTTACGAATTTATAATCAATGGTATAATGTACGACGATGATGAATGATGATCGATATTACTCATCAGTGGCCGATTTGAGGGGAGAGGATGGCGTGGCGATACCTAGGACTTTTGTTTTTTTACTTGAATTATAGCGCCGTATGATAAAGTTAATATGAAATTAATAAGTCATAACCATAACTTCAAACTCATGAATAAATAATATAAAAAAAGGTAGGTATTTTTTTTAAATATGAAAATCGGAGATGTGTATTCAGTTACGTCTTTGTTAGCACTTATCCAATCTATATGATACCAATTCGCCCCCTCCTCAAATGATCTTCAGATCCGCTACTGCATGAAAATGTACTTTTATTGAATATATAAGATCACCAAAAAAGTTTAATGTGATGTAATATAGTCTATAMATGTTAATATAAATAAAATAATTATGCTAGGTATAAACAAAACGAGTTAGTGATATTAATTTTAAAATTAATAATGCAATAAATGTCAATCGTTAATTATGAATTGTATCTTTTTTTATTGATTAGGCAATAGTAATAATAACCACAAAATAGCTCATTTAGACGGTCACCGGTTGTCGACAGGACGAGGAAAACAAATATATATTAGATAGAATAAAATAGTGCACAAACGTTGTACCGGCCAAATACGTAAATAACACTTATATATAGCACAATAGGGTGTATATATGAATTATGTTGAAATTACCTTTTTACTTGTAAAAAATCTATTGATTGTGTCGCGTTTCGACTCCGCCGGGCGCCGACTGTCAATCCACCGAATATTTGTAAATTACAAATTTGCACTCGTAACAAAATAAGTTAAATTAGAATATTTGAAATTTATGACAAAATATGACCAATAGATATTCTCTTGTATAAAACTGGCTTTTAACCACTATTTTTTTACCATATTATCTATATATTTTGTATATATTATTATTTACGACAAATTATTTCTTATAACTTTGTTTTAATGTAAAGTGGACAATAAATTATTGTCCGTAAGTGGTGTTTACCTGGGGAGCTAGGACTGTAATTGTTGCTAAATTATTATAAATGATAATATGTGCAAGTATACTGTTTGGTATTTAGTATAACATTATATTTTATTACAAATCACGATGGTAATATTATAATAGTCATCGCGGAATTCTCGTTGTAGATTCTTCGTCTACAATAGCTCGGTAGAACTCATTTTACCACTAGAGCGCAGGCCATATACTAAAACCAGCAGATACATAAAATGATGATTAATATGTTTTCTATAAAAAACATAGACCTTATACATAAATAAATACATAAAAAAAACGCAATTAATAAAAAAATTGTATAAAATGATAGGTTAAATTTATAAAAATAATATGAATAGGTAGATATAATAAAATAATAAAAACAATAATGATAATTACACTTACACACATCTAAAATTAAGCACTCTACTGTTAAAATATTCTCTTTGTACCAGTTGAGTTATTATTTTTATACTTTGATTATTATTTACCTATTTACCTCCTCYATTTTACGGGTTGGTATTATAAACCTGAATTTAAAATATGTCAGAGTATCCGCCACCGGTATATTAGTTTGTGAGCAAATGACACAATAGTACATTTGGTTGAGGGTATAAATGGTATATTTTAAAATGCAAAAAACAGCCGTTGAGGGAAACTAGTCAACAACCGGCCTGTATGCCTATATAATATATTTACAAAGTATTTTATGATAATATTGTAATTAAAGTAATTTATTATAGTATTATAGGTAGATTGCAATCATTTTTCCCTAAAATCTTGCATTAAAATGTAAAATATAACACAATTATTATAAAATATAAAAATATATGTATGTTAAATGTTTCAAGTATCACCACACAATACACAAATATTATTGTGAAAAAAAATTGTACCTATGCAGCATTTGCTCATTTGCAGTCTAAGTATTTACATATTTTTAAATGTTAACAATAACAACTTATGGAGGAACTTGTATAAAATTGTCAAGCTTTTTAACCTACCAACATTTTGAGCTGTTGTATTATACATCTAATAAAGTAATGTTACACTGGCACTCGTAACGCCGTTTTCCGAGGCACTGATGTGGTTACAAAATTTTTTTTTGCGGTTACAAAATGTTACATAATAAATAACATAATACCAAACAGTTTTCAAGTCGAAATTTTGACCTTGGGGTGCCAGGGTAACACACCTTTTTTAGGTCTATGATAAAAACTGTAGTATGAAAAACAATGATTTCGTTAAATAAAATTCTCGTATTATTGGTTTAGTAATAATTACTATATTATTATCTAATTATTAGACTATATAATATATATATATATAGTACGTATGTTGCGAAATATAATAATCAATTTTCAATGCTATAATATTTTTTTATTTATAAATTTTATGAACTCGGAAGTACGCGTAGTGCCACGAATTATTATTCTACTGGTTTGATTCGGTATTATATGTTATACACTTAGGTATCATCGTATACCAGGCACCAGCTACAAAAAGTACCGAGGTTACCTAGGAACATAGGCAAGTCCAGATCTCATTAGCAGGTCATGCACAACAAAGGTCAGTGACATATCTAAGGGATGGGGAAACTGCCAATCCTCCCCCCCTCAAAAAAAAAAATTTTAATTTCTGATAGGATTTGGGACCCTTGAATCATCCACAATCAAAAAAAAAAAAATTATATATGAACTAAGAAATTGAGAAAAAAAAGGTT